AAGTGACCATCCCTCATCAGAGCCTTAATTGAGCATAACTTAAAGATTAGAAAGCGTACACTATGGAGTCTAAAATGCTATCCAAACTGATATTCCATGTCTGAAATGTCTAAGTTATTTTTGTTTTCTGAGTTCAATGGCTAGTTTCTTTTATATTCTGATCTAGACCAAATTTCCCAAAATCAAATAAAGTCTCTGAAGGATGGAAAGCTGTTTTTTTCTGAGATCTCTGGGGAGCCTTATGCTGAGGGGACAAGAACAGGGCAAGACAGAATCAGTCTAGATGATCAAATTATTCTTTATTCTTCTTCTGCTGTCTAAAATTGTGAAGGAAATTGATAGCAGTGAAGGTGCTTTAAAGAATCTGTCAAATATAACAGTGGCTGATTTACGTATCATGGCAGAATTACGTGTCATCGCAAAAGATCATCAGCAGGTGCAAACTCTCCCAGAAATATTCTGTCTCTTAGCTCTAAGCTACTCTAAAACTAGGCAGAAAAATTCTGTGACTCTTTCTAGACCATAATATTGGTGTTATGTGAATGTATTCCACAAAATTTATTTTGGATGCTAATGTCTCTGCAAATCTGTTTTCTGACACCTTGAGAGCTACTTTTTGTCTTTTATAACTAAAAATGTAGTTAGCCTGAATTGAATGTATTTCCGGAATGTAAGTTTATCTAGTACTGTGTCTCTTGCTGAATGTACCCATATGATTCTTACTGTACTCAGTTTTGAGCTGAATGAATGCTGTGTTTTGTACAGATTGACTGTTCTGTCATCATATATGATGATATATAGTGGCATTCAAATGACTACTAATCAAATGCTGTGCTTCTTATGATTATTACACAAACTGCTTTAAGTCAGTACTGCACAGCTAAGGCTAATGACACTAAATAAAATGACACAAGGAAGGAATCTGTCTGAGATAATCCAATAATTCCCTATTGTTTTGGAAGGTTGCATTTAGTTTGAGTAATCCTTGATTTCTACATGAAAACGGTGATAATTATATTTATGTCTCCCAAGTATTTTCTCAGGAAACAGACAAACAGCCTTTCTCAATTTGTTTTAAGAACAAACACAGTACCACTGTAAGTATTTTCTTGTTTATTCTGAAGATGAAATGGATTAGTAATGGTATGAAATATGATACTAAAGAGTAAATTTTTAGGGTATCTTTTTAAGATAAAAGCAGAGTTTGCACAAACTTTTACAGATTCTGTAGGAATGTTGAACACTGTGTACATAACCACATGCAAAACAAACAGGGCCTTGTCATTTTATGCTATATAGCATGTGTCCAGCCTGCAAACCACATGAACAGTTAGTAATGTGGCCCCACAAGATCATAAGGTTTCAGCATTTTTATGTGATTTTTAGTGATATTTTCCATGAGTTGACTGCACATAGTTTGAACGTGAACTGCACAGGCAACAGCACAAAGATGTGGAGGGGAGGGGACAGAACAGTGCTAACTCCACATATCATGCCCACCACACACATTTCGTCAAAGCTAAACTTGTGTGTATTGTATGTGACATGATATTTTTAGGATATACACAGATAGGCATGCGATAACTGAATAATCTAGAAATTACAATCACGACCCAATTTCTTGATATTTAATTAAGTCATGTGTTACACTGGCAACAGCTAGAAGAATGTCTTGTATTTTCAGTACGACAAGGATCAAGAGCTACCGTCACATGTAAAACTGCTGGTCCTTACTTTTCTATTTCTGAAGGTAGTTGTATTTCTGCCTGATTTAGAAATTCATTTGCAAAAAGTCTATGGGTTGATTTTTTTACATGAATTGGAGGAAGTCCACTGACAGTTTCTCACTGCAAGGACTTGGAGAAGTTTAGGGCAGTTTCTCCATCCAGTGCATACTTACATGTTACTACACTGAGAAGAAAAGATAAGCTGCCGGCTTGTTATTGAATGCCACTGTGGATCCAGCCTCAGACAGAGGGTTTAGAAAGTGGATCAACAGATTTTATGTTCTTAGATTCCACCTCAAATAACTGAACAAAAAATAAATAAATCATTAAATATAAAAACACAGATAAAACAACAAGGAAAATACTGTTTTAAGAAGATCTTGTATAGGTTATGCTGAATGGACTTGGCCATTGTGAGGCTGCATCATTCCACAAGTCTGAAAGTAATTAGGAAGGCTGAATACAAGTAAGTTGTAGAAGTCGGGAACAAAAAATGGACCACATTCTCAATGGTTGCAAATCGAAGTATCTCCCCTGAGTTTATTGCAGTTATTTAGATCATATTGCAAGAACATGACAGCAGCAAAATGTGACTTTTCTAGTAGATGTTCTTCAGTGTCCTTTCAAGAACATTCATTTAATAAAAGAGATTTAAAGAAAGAATTGTCTTCACCCACAGTTGAAGACTGTTGGAGAACCTGACTGTATATTGTCTACTCATACGCAATATTTAATGGTATTACCTTTAACATCTACCATATGTAGGCTTGTACCTTGCATATCAGTGTCTAAGTTCCACAGAAATAAAATATGCCACCCACATCCATGCAATCATTTTAATTTGCTTTGCAACCACAGTAACTTTCTACAGTACTTGAAAACAGATCTTTATGATTTACTTTTACTTGAAATTTAAAGTCTATGGAAGAAGAACTGTGGCTTGATTTGGAAATTCATAAGCGTTTGAAAGACATTCCCAAAATAGAAGTCAGAGTTCTTACAACAGGAAACAACAATACCAACATTCTGAGTTTCTTTCCAAGTTATGACATGTGTGATGATGGATTAATAAAAGGTAGAAGCAAAGCCAAAATCTGGATAAAATATTCCAGCGAGACTGTAACCACTTATTCTTTGATTATTTCTTGAAACTGTGGCTTACCTTCAGTTTACATAATCATGTAACTGTATCAAGCCATTAGCTTTGCAGTGTTTTGCTGAACTTTTACTGTTGCTAATCTAGAAACTGTAGATCCTGACAACTTTTATTTCCAGGGGCACAGCGGTATTTGTACACTTATGTACACTTAAATTTTTTGTCATTAATTTTTCTTAATGCTCCAACACAAGGAAAGGAGCATATTCATGAATTTTGGTACATTCAGTATGAAATGTAGAAGTATGAAATACTTTATGAAATCTGGTGGTTCTACTGTGAAGGAAAAACAAATATTAAAATTTTGAAAATGTTTAATAATAGAACTGGCTGCATCTGTCTTATACATTTGGCAGAATGTGGTTGAATTTAGGCAAACTTTTTTTTCTTATACTTATTAAGAAAATATTCATACTCCAATTACTCTTCTCCTGTAAATGTAGAAGCAAATTTTTGAAAACAGAGCTTCTTGATGGAATGTCAAGTGATATTTGGCCTAAGGAAAGTAATTAAAAAATAAACATTTTGATTAATAGTTTGCCCTCAAGTGTCTGTTCATTGTTTTGGAATATTGCATTACAGTTTTTAATCCCTAATTTGCTATTATCTGAAACAACATTCTGAGTAAATTTTAACTGTAAGGAAACCAACAGTTTTTTGTTTTCATTTTGATTCCCATGAAGACAAATTTCAAAATTGCACAATTTGTGCAACTGCATAATTACAAACAAAATGTGTCTCTTCATAGCCTGTAATTCCAACTGGAATCGAATTCCAATCCGAAAATCCTTCATGAAAATAATATAAATCACAATTTGGAGTGGAGTAAAAGATTTATATTTGGATCTCTGGCTAAATACAGCTAAAAAGTCATTCTGCAGAGTTATTTACCTCTAGCTATACTTATGACTGAGAACCACCACATATGCCATTTCCTTGCATGGGCTTCAAAGACCTCTCTCTTTGAAGTTGCAGAGGTTAGACTGGTAATCTATTCCTCTTAGGGCTGTCTACCTTCACTATCCATACACATAAAAGCTACTGGGAAAAAAATCAAACCCACTTCCATTTGGGCCTGCATAACTTTGCAACTAACTTTCAAAGTTAAAACTGTAATTTTAATGCTGAAAAATGCATATATAAAATTACATGTATGACAATGAAAACCACATTTGACAAATTTAGCAGACTTTAACACAAAGTTCCACAGGAATCTTAACAAGTTAGCTCCAGATATGACCATATTAGAGAAAGCTGGAAACAGCCTTACAGAGCTGGCTTTTTAACTAAAGAAATGCCCTCAAGAAGACTCATTCCAGCTAATGAAGGTATTATGTAAACAGTTAAAAGGCAGTTGCTGGAGGCTGGTAATAAGTTCAAATATCAGCAGTTAGTAATTATGAAGGTTTCCTATCTCATTTCAGAATAACTATCCTGTTCTGGTTGTGATAGACCTGCGGAACGGAGACCTTCCTGTCACTATGTTCAGGTACTATTTTGTGGAAAGTATGTGTGATGTCTTCCACTATATCTCAAGCTCTGTTCTAAGGTCAGAGAAAGACTAAAGCTGCCAATCAATAATCTGAACAGAAAGAGTAAATAAAATTAAACAGATTGATAATTATTATAGTGGTTTTGCAACAACAGAAGCAATTGCCAAAAGGTACATGCATGACTGATCCACCCTGAAGGACAAATTTACCAACACCACTTCTTTCATTAAAGAGGCAAAAAATTGTTGACCTCCCCCAGCAGTTTGGAAATTATGCATGGTCATTATCAGTATGATTCACACTGAATTAAATTAAATAAAATTTTGTTAGATTATTTCATTTAAATATGAGACCAGTGATTAAATAGTTAGTTTTTGTGTTTTTATTATTAGCTTTTGATATGACATGAACAGCTAGCATTTATTATTAATTGATACCCTAATTAAAGCCATACTAGCCATTTCCATTAGCTTACTCAAACTTCTCCAGAGCTGTCCGTCTGGTTTTAATCAAAACCAAATGGTAATCCAAGTTCTCAGTCTGGAACGGCTAAGAGGAAGTCATTCAGAGGAGGCAGAAGAAAGCAGAAAAGATAAACAGATGATATTCACTAAATTTGTGCAGAGCAGAGGATGTAGATGCTGTGGGTTACTCTGAAGATGTGATTCAGGCACTCTGTCAAATTGGAACGAAGTAGTTACAAGTGTTTTATGTCAGCAAAATACTAATTTGATCAAGATGGAGTCTGTCCTTTTGCTTTCGCAGGGCTGGATTTGTGTGACTCTGGAGGATTCTCAGAAGAGGTAAAGCAACATATACCATTGCCTGTTATATGACTGCATTTAAACCATAGCATTCATTCTCTCAGATCCGGATAATTCTCTTGAGTAGGAATGCAATTTTAGTAGCATATGCATGCGTATCTATTGAACTGTGTGTACATGCTGATCAGAATAGTACAAGAGCCTTTGTAAGCTAAATTTAAATTGTGTTATTCTCTTCCTTTTTCCTACTACCTGGTACCAAGATGAGACATTTTGGAGACATTCCCCCTTTGTTCGGATTGATTGTCATCTTTGCATGATCCCTGGAGATGTGCAAAATGTATGTATATTTTTAAAGAAAAGAAAACATTGAGGAGGGGTTTAAAACATGTTTGCATTATGTAACTGTAGCTGAGATCTTCCAGTTTGACAGAAATACCTCAGCAGTGTGTTAAGCTGAATGTCTTGAAATTTTCAGTCTGGGCGTCTTTTTCCCTTTCCCCCCTCTCTACGCGCTCGCTCCTTTTCTCTCTGCCTCGCGCACGCACACACACGCTCTCCCTCTCTGTCTCTCTCTCCCTCTCTCAAAGGCAGGAAATACTTTTCAGGCAATCTGGGCCTGGTTGTTGAGGCCCCTTTCACAAAACATCAGTCTGAATTTAGTAGACAGAAGTCACTGGGAAAAGCTTGACAGGCTCGTGCTTAGCTAAGGCTCCCTCCAGCTGCAGAGGGTGTTTTTGTTAGAATCACACATTGAGGAAAACTGCTTAGAATAGAGCAAGGATCTCAGAAGTGAAATCTGAACTTTTATGCTAGCAGGAGCTAACTAAGACTGGGTTCTTTTGTTTGTTGTTTTTTTTTTTTTATCCCTCCTTTTTAAGGACTTTTTTTTCCCCCTTTCTTTCTTATTTTTCTTTCTTTTCTTTTTTTTTTTTTTTTAAACCAAAGATTTTAAGAAGGTCATGTCCAAGTTTGACTGACATTCTCTTCACTTACGTAAAGCTGTCTCAGAATCTTCCTATACTTTAAAATAAGACAAAATATTTTTTCTTTTTTCTTTTTTCTTTTTTCTTTTTTTTTTGAAGTGAAAGAAAAGAAAAAAACAGGAAAGAAACAAGCAGCATCCAGCACTACTGGGGCTTTCAGCATTCAGGATCCCAGCACTAAAACTGCAGGTAAATAAATAAGTATCATTGAAAATGTAAATTTAGTTGTATGCTGCTAATCCTGTTAATCAAAATGTGCCAGAGCTATAACAAAATCTTCTTGTTCATTTTGCTTAATCTTTTAAAAATATGCTTGATATGCTGAACTTTGTTTATTTGCATTCATGTATAAATAGAACTGCATGGTCTTGCCTGCATGTTTTTAATAGGCATGAAATAAGAAAGCTAAAAGTGTGAATGATATCTTTTTTCACCTCATTTGCCAACAGGGAGGGCATTTAGGGCTATGTTTTTTTCTCTTTCCCCACCTTCTCCTCCCTTCTCTTCCCTTCCCCTCCGGCACTAATGACGATGAAAAGACATTTAGATAGATATATCAGTTATACTTCTGATGGTCTTGTTGCCTAGCTTTTACTTAGTCCTAAATGAAGTTTGCAGTATAACTGACAAGACAGTCCTAAATGTGTACACTCTAAATATGCAATTTCTAGGTATCCTTCTCCTTGTTAGCTAAAGCAGGTTATTTTTAGTAACCTTTAATTAGATATGCAGTTTGGGGTGTGCTGTGCTAACTTTTAGAAGGAAAGCAGGATTCAGTGAATGTCAGCTGGCTAGATAACTTTGGTGAAGACGTATGAATTCTTTTTTTCAACCTAGTTAAGGTTTAACTATTAAAAGTAAAAACAATCTGCTGCTTAAGTGTTTAGGGGGAAACTCAGGATATCATTTTTGACTGTGTGAACAGAGCTGCAGCTATAAAAGCGGTGATTTAAGCATTTTTCACATCTGTATATATGTTTTTTTTATGTATCTTCTGTCATCCTGAATATCCAAAAGGACAGCTGTTATTTTAAGTAATGAAAGAAATTCTTTCTCGCATCATTAAGACTTCATATATTTATTGACTTGTTTCGTAACAGGAGTCATCTGTTCACATACATTGAAGATAATTTTATGAAGTTTTTTATTTGTATTTTTACTAAATACTGTTTTGAAATAATTGGTGACTAAAGAAATGATTTTATGGCTTGAAGCGAAGGAAAGGAGCAGTAAGAACTCTGGAATGGTGTCCAATATCTTCTCTGTTATAATAGACTGAGAACTGTGCTTTACTGCCCAACCCATTTTGTAGAAGAATGTTCTCCATGCTGTTTGAAGCTCTGGGACATGAAGAGCATGGAGCTGAAGGGGGAAGGAAACATCTGGTAGGCAGCAAGTTACTCCTGGGTATACTCTAAGGTGAACGTCAGAGTAGTAGTCACAACTTCCATAGTTCTTAATCATGAGCTGGGAGAGCTGTGGTAGGTCTGTGGTGAGACAAAGTTCAAAAAAGAATCTGTTCAGCTGAGTCTATGTGTCATTCCCACGAAATTCATGCTGGAACTTTGATTTGCCAAGGGATTTAATATTAGTACCTTTCAGTCCATTCTGTTACTATACTTGCCCCCTGCAATTGTGGATGTATGTACTCAGTCAGGACTGTGTTTAAACAGAGGAGATAAAATGATTAAAACAACTATTCCACATCAAGGGGCATCTTCTGTAGCATCTTCTTCTGTCTTTTAAAGGACATAATGAATGACCTCAGTTGACCTCACTTGCAAATAAAAGTACCTGAGATAGTTGAGTTATAGGGTAGACAATGGGATGAAGTCCAGAAAATACTTTCTCATTTAACTCACTTTCTCATTTAAGTTTCTCACAGGCCATAAGAAAATATAACACACATAAGTGCACTACACTCTCATTTAGAGTGTTTATTGAATAGTTCTGAAGACAAATCCCCGTTGCTATTCAAGACCTGGTCATGCTTAATCTAATTTTTGTGTTATACTATACTGTTTTCTTAGATATTGTTATTAAACAAACAAACAAACACCCTCAAAAGGACTAATGAAAAGATAGGATACAATCTAACACTGAGCATCTATAGATGTTGACCTGTTCTGTTCACTCCAAAATGCTAATACCTTTTAACTTGAAACACGCATAAAGCCAATACATGAGATGATTACTTTGAACAATAAAGCAAATTAATTAATATCTCTAGCCTTGAGCAAAACTAATGCAAGGGATCAAGTTCTTACAATAGAAAAGATTCAAAGAGCTCTCCTTTGGTATCAATTTATGTCCTTGCAAACTCTTTTGTATCTTGTGTCTGTCAACTTCAATGTTAAATTCTGTAATCAGAACACCTAAACAAAGTAAATTGGAATATTTGGGACTAATTCATGAAGATCTTTGTGACACAAAGCAAAATTTAATTCCTTGGAAAAGAAACTGAAAAACAAAAATAACTGTTTGGGTAGGCAATTTTTGAGTAGGCAAGTCTTATAGTAATTCTTATGAACTGCTGAATATAATATTAATTATATATAACAAAATATATAATAAAATACGTAATAAAAGCTATAATATTCTATAAAAATATATTTTCACATTTTGCTTTAATGTGGTGGAAAAATGGAAGAATGTCCATTTTGTCCTTTTTTATAAATCTCAAAATTTTATTCTTTTTTATTTTCTTAATTGTCTGAAATTGAATGCTGAGTTTTATAATATATTTTTCTGTTGTTCTTAAAATGAATTTTGTTGCTGAAAATTACCAGCTTTGATGCCAAGCTTCCCTGAGGAGGGCTGAAGCAGGAAGAGAACTTATGAACAATTTTATCAATTTTATTTTTTTTTCTAGAAAGGATATGTATACTTCTGAACATTCTTTTTTTCTTGTAGCCATCTGGTTCCATTTTCTGCTGTTTGGATTAAAAAAAATTCTTAAGAGATTTTTTTTTAATCTTGGTGTCCTATTCCTTCTACAAAATGAAAAGGGAGGAAAAAAAGAATTAAAAAAAAAAAAAGAAATTGAAATAGCATAGCCAGAAGACCTAGACCCTGATCTCCTTCCTAAAATCAGGAGACTGGATGAAGATTCTGGCGGTCTCTGATTCTACTCCTGACTCAAATCAGGGTCAGCTAGAACAGGCAGCTCAAGGCTTTGTCTACTTGAGTTTTGAATATCTTCAACCATGTTTATCAGTTTCAGTACTTAGTAAGGATTTTAAACTTGGCTATCTACACAGGTATACACTTTTTTTTTTTTTTTTTTTTTTTTTTTTTTAATGTGTATGTGTGTACAGGCAAACGTATACCTGTACATATACCTGTATGTATAAAAGTATTCCCCAAACCAGATGCATAATCATTTTTGCATGCAAACCCTATGTTAATAAGACTGTGACCATGATGTTTTAAAATAATTAACTCTATTGAATTTAAATACTTCATTGGGCTCCTGGCTGCATTTCAAGATGTTTTTCTATTTCTTCATTCCCCACTGGTATTTGTTGATATTTCTAGATTTTAAGTGAAGTCTTTTGGTAGAGAATTTGAAATCCATTTTTACCATAATTGCTTGTTTCTGTTGAATGGGGAAAATATGTTGAAATTACAAATGCCTGGACTTTTATCTCTGATATATTGTGCATTATCCACTGAATATAGAGGTTTGTCCTGTGCTCTACATATCTGCATGAAGACTTATTTAACGCACGCAATGTAATCTTCTAGTCTTCACTTTCCTCTGGGCTCTCTTTTTTTTTTCATTCTGATTTGCGATATTTTCTGTTTTGTATTTTTTTATATCTTGTCTCAAATTCCAGTAGGCTTAAATTAAAATGCCTTTGAAAAGGCATTTTCAGGAAAATTCTGTTACCTCTGAATTCTGAGTTCTTCTCCTGCCCTCTATCTTTCTATCAGTTCTAGGCTTTCCAGGGTAGTTACTATGCCATATTGCTAAGAATTCTGTAGTCTGATTCACTTTACATCATGTCTGACAAATGTTCCTTAATGCATAAATTTTCCAAGTTGAATGTAACTTATACTTATGGAAAGTTTCCACTGTGATCCAAAGTTTTATTTTGTGTAAGGGAGATTCAAAATTACAGTGTAATTATACTAGGAGATGAGAGAGATCTAGAGTAGAAGAGAAGATTATTAAAAAATATTATTCTGCTTAGATAACTAAATAAGAATGGAAGAGATGAGAAAAACCAGCAATATACTCACCTATTCTAACTATTTTCATATTTTTAGTAAAGTTGCATAACTGCAGCGTAATAAACATCAAACAACTTCAAGTTTGTATTACAATCTTTAATAGGAACATGTAAAGCTACTTTCTTATGTTTTCTCTTCCAAGACACAAATGTTTAACAGGTATGGGAGGAATTACTTTGGATTCACTGGTTCAATCCACAGCAGTGAACTCTCCACTTCTGATCAGCCCTGAGAGGCCTGAGAGGTTCAAGAGGTTCAACACACTGAAAGTTGTAGTGTTGGATTAAACACCTTTCTGTCGGAGATGTCAGTGCTTTCATGGCAACTTCCAAACCCAGAATCAGTGTCAACTCCATTAGAAATATAAGTAAAGATTTTTAAAAGCTTTTTCATATCATACAAACTGATAGGTGGTAAAGAAATTTGATCCAAGTAGTTTTCAGACTGAGGGAGGGTAATATGTTTTATTTTTTGTGTACAGAAACAGTAGTTTTCAGAGTTGAATGAGTATTGTCAAACAGGCTACAGACACTGAATAGGAGAAAAGCATCACAAAACTGAGAGATCAGCTGATGAGTCTGGAATTCAGGCCACTCTGTGAAATGATTTTCAATGTCTTATGCGTGAAGTATATACATAATAGCATCAAAATTACTTTTTAGTTCTGTGCTCACCAGTGATGAATACGGGCTTGTGGTTTACTCAGTAAGGGCAATGGTTACCAGCAGTCATTGCCCATAGTGCCTTGGGCTTCACAGTTCATGTCTATAACAAACTCCAGCAACTCATCTTTAAATGGAAACACTCTATTAGAACCTTAAATATAAAAGGCAGCAGGAAAACAATCTGGTTAGTTTATATTGTTTTCCAAAGAGCTTCCTGTAGCTAGAAAATTAGTATTTTACTAGGGTTGGCTAGAAAATGGAATTTCTTCCATCATGAGAAATTTAGAA